GGGTGGTGTGTCTGTGTGGGGCTTGTGCAGGCAGACTTCCCTCTGATGCTCACTGCCAGCCCCGCGGCTTACCACAGCCACCGCAGACACGAACTTATCTCCGAGGCTGGCAGGGTCACCGCCTCCCTGTCACGCAGGGCTCAGAGCCCCATGGGGGAGGAGGCCCGAGGATAGTGGGTCTCAGCAGGTCTCCGGCCAGGGGTCTCAGGCCTCTCTGTGTTTCTGCTGTCCTTTCTTTCAGCCTGGGGTGTCAGAGCCTGAGAATGGAGGCACTTCGGGTTAGAAGGTCCCAGGACACCACCCCCACCTCCCACCCCGGGGGACACTGCTCCGGGTTTGTCCCCACCAAAGGAGTCTTCCCTGTGGGAGGCAGAGACCTGCATGCTCTGCTCCACCCCTGGCTGGGGTGAAGGGCCAGGGTTCGACCTTCACGAGCTTCGTGGCTCCTGGCAGGGACCGAGTAGATGGGGCCAGGACAGGTCGACACCTGTGCCGTGGCAGGCCCTACGTGTGGGACCCGCGGGGACAGGCTGAGATCTAGGGTGAATGTCCACATCCCGAGTAGACCCGAGCCTAGGGTTCATGGGAGCTGTCCTGGAACCTTCCTGTGGTCACTGCATATTGCGTGGAACCACGCCATGAGCTGTGATGGTACCAGTCTTCACCCCTGGCCAGCTGCAGGGGCTGGGCCTCAGGCCTGCTCAGGGGATGCCTCTCCCTCCTGCAGCTCTGTGGACCCATGTTCTGGCTTCTGTCTACCCTTTGTCCTGTCCTCCTCCCACTGGCAACAGAGCAGGGCCCACAGCCCACCCTAGCACGGTGGATTTTTGTTCCCTCACTCCTTTCCCTCCTGCTGTCAGGAAACACAGGGCTGGCTGAGCCCAGTGTGTCTCGGGTGGGAAGCACAGCCGTGAATGCACTTGGCAACAGGAGTTTTTGAAGGCCAAGGGTGCTCGCCCCACAGTGCTGGTGCTGCCCTGCACAGCTGTAGAGCTGAGCCTTGTTGCTGGTACCCAGGAGGCCGGGCTCATGGACAGGGCCCCCAGCAGGGTCGGGGACCCTGAGTGCACCCCAGTTGCCTGCTTCTCAGCGCCCTGGCTTTGAGGCCACACGGAGTTGCACCAAGAGAGACGTGGGAGCCCCCTGGGGATCCATGCCAGGCTACAGAGGACCCACGGCCATCGTCTCCCTGCCCAGAGGACTCTGCCTGGGTGGGGCCCGGGCTGGGAGGTCCACATCTGCTGCCTGCTCCCTCAGCCAGCAGCTGCTCTGAGCCGGGGCTGGGACTTTGGGAGCCTCCCAAAGACAGGGTGGGCCTAGGGGCTCGGGGCAGCTCCAGCCTGCTGTGGGAAGGGGAGAAGTAGTAGTTTCTTGAGAAAGGCATGGGGCTGGCCTACAGTCTCACTTCCTCTTCTGGAGAAAAACCTCAGCTCAGCTGTGTTGGCTGGAGCCTGCAGCAGGGCCCCTGGAGCCTGCAGCAGGGCCAGGAGGCTTGAGCAGGCCCCCAGCAGGTGTTCCGAGGCATGGGTGGGAAGATGGCATTGGGAGAGGTGGCTGGATGGCTCAGGAAAGTGTGCTGATTCTCAGGCGCGGTGGCTCATGCCAATAATCCCAGCATTTTGGGAGGCGAAGGCAAGAGGACTGCCTGAGCCCTCGGGTTCGAGACCAACCTGGGCAACATGGTGAGACTGGGTGTGGTGGCACGCGCCTGTAGCCTCAACTACTTGGGAAAGGCTGAGGTGGAAGCATCACCTGAGCCCAGCAGATCGAGGCAGTGGCTGTGAGCATGCTACTGCACTCCAGCCTGGGCGACAGAGTGGGACTCCTACTCAAAAAAAAAGAGTGCCGATTCTTGAGAGCACAGACCTGGATTCCATGTCACTTACTGTCTCAACTAATGAAAGCGAGCTGTTCATGATGACGGCAGGACAACAGATGTCAACTGGGACTTGGGGCAGCCGAGATGTGTGTTAGCCTACTTATTAGGGCTTGCTTGCTGTGTGGATCTGGGCAAGTTACATAACCTCTCTGAATTTTGGTTTCTGCATAAAAAAGGCTAACACCTTCCAGGGCTGCAGGAAGGAGTGAAGGGGGGTATCTGAGCAGCCCTTGTTCTCTTCCTGTGAGGTAGGGGGTTCCCTGTCCCTGGAGGTGAACAAGGGCCTGCCTGTCAGCTCTCTGGAGTGCAGGGCCTCAGGAGGTGTCTATGCAGCGGGAGAGGCAGTCCAACCCTTCCTGTAACCCCCAGAGGGGTGATGTTGAGGATGGGAGTCAGGCCTTCCTGCACCTGGGGGAGGGTGGGCTTGCCCAGGCTGGAACTCCCTGGGGGACCTGTCCCCGCTCCTACCATGGGGCATGGGAGGCTTGTGACTTCTGTGTCCGTGAAGGACCCCTCAGAGCCCAGCCGGAAACTACCTCGCTGCCAGCGTCTCTGTCTTTGGCGGCCCAAGGCCGGCTTTGGTTTAGGCAAGTTCTCCTGCTTCTCCCCTCCTGGGGTTGCCCCTGGGGATGCAGAGCGTTCCTGGGGGTCTGGGAAGGCCGGAGGCTGAGCTGGAGGAAGGAGGCTGCTTGTGTCTTCGGTTACTGCTCCCTGGTCCCGAGATGTTGAGCAGAATTTGTCAACCTAGAATTTTTTTCAAGTGCTGGGTGTGGGGCCTGTGTCTCGTGGTCAACCTTGGGCAAGTCAAAGACTCTGGGCCTCAGGTTCCTGCTGGGAGGTGGGGTCAGCTGCCCTGTCATCCTCAGGGCGCAGGGACGGGGTGGAAGGGAGAGGGCTGTGGGCGCCGAGGGCCCGCACCAACGCCATCTGCCGCCCCACAGCCAGGAGCCCCTGGGGGCAGAGCCTGCGCCCCTGAGGGATGAGCTACAGGTCCAGTCCTGCTGTGGAGGTGCCGAGGGCACAAGGGCGGCTGTTTAGTGAGCATCTGTGGCACCAGCTCTGCGTGGAGTCTGCCCCATTCCCCAAGGCCAGAGCTGCGCCGGCAGGAGGAAGGGTGGTACCACCCCCTTGCTCAGAGACCCCAAGGTGACCTAGTGCTGGGGACACCAGGGTCCTCAACTACCGGCTACTTTGTGCGCCTTCCCCCTCTTCACCCCGGAGAAAGCTCATCTGGCCAGAGACAGTGCAAAATGTTGGTTCTGGAAGGCATCTCAGCAAACTCATCTGGCCGGTCCCCTCCATAAATGTGCCAGGAGCCCATGGTGGCAGGCAAGGAATGAGGAAGCAGGTGTGTACCAATGAGGGCGGTTCCTCAGGGTGAGAGCAGGGCTCCCCTCAGGACTGAGTCCCCAGGCAGAAGTCACCCAGTCTACCCCTCCTCAGCACCTTCGGCCGAGGCAGGGCCTCCCCAGCTTTGCCCTCCAGAATGAGGTCAAGGGGTGACACCAAAGGGCAAGGCGAGATGTGTGTTATCCACCTGTTACTACGTCCTAGCTGGATGGGACGCCAAGCAGTTTACTTACAGCTCAGAAACAGATGTTTCCAAAAACATGGTCAATGGACTTCCAGTAAGAAGTGCCAGAATCCCACCTTCAGACTTTGTGGTTGCCAACCTACCAGGGAGGATCTTGAAAAATAGGGCCACCTTAATGCTAAGGGCCTATGTTAACATTTAACATAGCCTCACCAGAGAAATCTGCTCCATCATTCTCTTGTTGAGCCCAGAGGACTAGGACATTATCCAGTGTTAACAATCTTGATAGGTAAAAGAATGGCATCTCAGCCAGGCTTGGTGGCTCAGCCTGTAATGCCGCGCTTTGGGAGGCTGAGGTGAGTGGATTGCCTGAGCCCGCCAGTTCGAGACCTGCCTGGGCAACTTGGCGAGAACCCATCTCTACAATAAATCAAAAACTAGCCGGGCGTGGTAGCGCATGCCTGTAGTTCCAGCTACTTGGAAGGCTGAGGTGGAAGGATCGCTGGAACCCAGCATGT